GTTATTACCACAGCTAACCTAAGAAACCTACAATCAGGGGAACTTTTAAGAAACAAGTATTGATTGGACTCAGGTGACAAAGCAGCAAGAAGGAACATACAGGGGAGACAACAGACCATTGTCTTTCAAAGAAAAAAAAAGTTCTTAGCTGTTGAGTTGATCAAGAAAAATACTGAACCAAGTTTTACCTATTGAAGTGAAAAAGCGAAGCATTGATAAGTCAGAAGATACTGCAAAGTGAGAACTTTCAGTGCCATGGTCAATGAAACATGTCAGTAAAACTCCACCCTTAAACCTCCATCCCATGCCTTCCCAGAACTGTTAAAAATACATTTAATTCAGAAGCCCTCTATTCTTCCTCAACAGCTAAAGAAGATCAGAGATCAATACCTGATTATGCCATTAAAACTAGAGAAATATAAAGACGTTATCTGGAGAAAAAAAATGCAGTCTTAATAATATAACCTTCAATGGAGCACAAAATGAGAAATTTGAAAGAAATAATTGAATGGCTTATCCCCGAATGTAAGTCTCTTCATTTAAATTTATAAGTCCAGTACTGTATGTTGAAAATTAGGAGTACGACTATACCTTACAGGAACAATAACGTAATATGCCTGTCAGCATATTTAGGAAAAAAAAAGGTTCAGATTTATGTTTTGTCAGAGATGCTGTCATAATAAAATAATGGACAAGCTTTCCTGTTTTCCAAACCATTCTTATTTTCATAGCTGAAAAGAAATTTCCAAATAATTCTGTCCCATACTGAAGCTACCACAAGAAGGCAAAATAGAGACAACAAGCTGGACTTCACACATGAGGATGAAATGAATGAGGATGACAGAACATGAAATGCTGTCAACCTAAACCTTTGAAGTATAGTGTTTCCACAGAAAATCATATGGAAAAAACAAGTGTTCCACTTAACACAGCCCTCAAACACATTCTATATATTCAAACATCACTACACTGCTTATTTCTTATGAGCTGACATAAAAAAGGAAGGCAAATAGGCCAAAAGGCTGGGCAGAGATTTGGGGCTACAAGAAAGCTAGAGAGGGGATCTGGACAAGGGCCTGCAGGGACAGGACAAGGGGGAATGGCTTTAACCTGACAGAGGGGAGACTGAGATGAGATCTTAGGCAGAAGTTCTTCCCTGTGAGGGTGGTGAGGCCCTGGCACAGGTTGCCAGAGAAGCTGTGGCTGCCCCATCCCTGGCAGTGTTCAAGGGCAGGTTGGATGGGGCTTGGAGCAACCTGGTCTAGTGGAAGGTGGCCCTGCCCATGGCAGTGGACTGGAACTGGATGAGCTTTAAGGTCCCTTCCAACCCAAACCATTCTGTGGCTCTGTGATATACCAACTTTCTGATCACCTGTAACAAAGTTTGTAAGAAGTGTTTTCCTTTCACCTCCAAAATATTCATATAACACGGTCACAGTCATAAGAGTACACATCTTGGTAAGATCAAGGTCCCAGGTCCTGCTTCTGGCAACTGGTAGCTTATGTAAGGAAACAGTATGAGAACAGAGTGGTTATAGTGTGACTTTTCCCTGGTTTTGGCAACCAGTAGTAACTTTGGAGCCTCCTGAGCCAGAGTCTGTAACTGGACAAGCGTGTACAATAGCTCAATGCACTTAACCCACCTTAGTATTGTCAAATGCCTTTTTTTTTTTAATGCATTTATACCTTTCTCCTTGATAGTATTCTGTGGCAATGAGTTCCACAATACAATTGGGATGTATATGAAATAGTATTGCCTCTCTTTCAGTAGAGAACTCCTGCCTGATAATTTAAACTTGATGCCCCTTAGCTTCTCTATTATGAAAACAGCAGAAAACCATACCCTATTCATCTCCTCTACACCTTTCATGATTTTATAGATTTGTCATATTCCTTCCTCAGTCATCTATTTTCCAAGCTGAAGAAATCTTTGTCTAATCTTTCTTTGTGTGAAAAGCATTTCATGCCTGTGATCATCTTTGTAACCCTCCTCTGTGGATTTTTTTTTTTAAATTCTTCATATCCTTTTTGATATGGTGTCCGGACTCCACGCAGTGTTCAAGATGAGGGCCCACATAATGAGTGGAATGACAATGTTTTCCTGTTTTGTTCTCAACACCTCATAATTCCTAACATCCTATTTGCTTTGAGGGTTTTTGACTGCCATTGAGCACTAACTGATGTCCTCAGAGAACTATTCACAATCACTCCAAGCTCTTTCCTGAGTTGTAATAGCTCATTTAGAGGCCACCATTGTGTTTACAGAGTGAGTTATTTCCCCATAATTTCACATTTACCAGAATTGAATATCATGTCATTTTATCATCCAACCATTCAGCACCATGAAATAATTCCCCAACTCATCAGAGTAAGCTTCAGATTTAAGTATTCTAAACAATTTCAGGAAAAAAAAACGCTAAGTTTGTTAGCTTATATTAATTCCTCTTTTCCTTTTATTTACAACTTTGTCTGTGCAGGCCTTAGTAACACTGCACCAGTAATAAATTATTTCCTCAGTGAAATACGAACATCTTTTTTCCCTTTTAACCAATTATTAACTCATAAGGGGACTCCCTTCTCTTATGCTTTTTCAAAGCATTTGCTAACCTTGCTGACAGCTTGTTGGGAATCCACATACTCTTATTGACAACATCTTTCTGTTTCACAGGATCTCTGACTCCTTCACGGAATTACAGTAGTTGTTTTTTTTAAAAAAAGAAACCTGTACTAACTCCATCCTCCCTCTCCTCCCATTTTATTTCTTCCTGATACCCAGGAATCACAATCAATAACTCCTGGAGGCCTTTTCTGACAAAAACAGCTGATTTCAGCAGGAAGTTATGTATTAGCTAGTTGTTCTGCAGCTTCATATTTGACTTCTTATAAATTTGATTTGATTGTTGTACGATATATTGATTTGTACTAAGAGCTCCACTACTGACAAACTAAATTTGAGATAGTTCCTCAGAACTCTATCCTGCTTAGAGAAGTTTTAAAAAATTAAATGTTGAAACCAGACAAATAATATTGGAAATAACTATGTTTGTTTTTCTTGTTTGAGCTAAGCATTCATCAGCCTTATCAGCTACCTTTTAATAGCAGTCTTTACCACTGTAACAAGTTCCTCAAATTCAGTTTGGGGTGATCTTACTGTGATTTTACATGTAAATTGCAAGCATTTATACTTTTTTCTATTCTCCTCACTTGCACAGGACTTACTCTTGCTACAAGCCGTTTCACTACTTTTATTAGTCTCCTTTACTAGTTTAAAATAGGTTTTTTGTGTTGCTAGGTGGCAGGATGTCAGCGGTGATTTAACATAGCCTTTAGAGAGCTTTAATTTTTCAGCTTCTACATATATTATTTAATTTTTCTCATTTCTGTAGGCCTCTTCATAATGTATTTTTGGCTGTGGTGAGGGCTTCCAACAGATATGTTGTGGTTTAACCCCAGCTGGCAGCTAAACACCATGCTCACTGCCCCCACTGTGCCTGGTGGGATGGGGAGAAGAATCAGACAAAGACAAAACCCATGGTTTGGGAGAAGAACAGTTTAACAATTGAAATAAAGTTAAACATAATAACATTAATAGTAACAATAACAACAACAATGCAAGTAACTAGGCCAGGTTGGACGGGGCTTGGAGCAACCCGGTCTAGCGGAAGGTGTCCCTGCCCATGGCAGGGAGGTTGGAACTGTATGAGCTTTAAGGTCCCTTCCAACCCAACTTCTAGGATTTTTTTAAGCTAACAGATCAGCCTTAGTATTGCATGACATAGATGAATCTTTGTTTTTACAAAGGACATTCAAAGACAGTTCTGTAGCCTCAAGATTCAGGCACTTCAACGTTTATAAAAGACAGCTTCCTGGTTTCACAGTTTGTGGGTGACATGACTTGTCTGGCATATGGAAGTACATCTTGGACCAAAACTTCCCCAAAGAAAACTAGTTCTGCAAAGAAGTTAAAGATCATGGCCAGCACTGCACCAGGCAGACCACCGCTATGAACCCAATCCTCTTCTTTGTCTATACTTGAAAACCTAAAGTGGGGAAATACTTTCTCAAGTGGTCTTGGTGCATTGGTGCACCCCTTGTGGGAGCTCCTGTTTGCCCTCCAACTGCTCCATGGAGCTCCTGGCAGAGCTCCTTCTGCCCCGACCAGGAGACACTGGCAAAGCCTGGGTGGGAAAACTTGAGTAGTTTGAGCAAGTTATCAAAACATGCCCTAAACAAGACTTAGGTAATGGAAATGGGAACTGTGAAACGTTACAGAACGCTAAAGCAAATAAATTTTTCCTCTTTTAGCCCAAATGGGTTTTCCTCAACTGAATATGAAGGACTGGCTGACAACAACAGTAATGCAACAGCTTCTCAAAGATGATTAAGAATCGTGGATGGCAGTGATGGAAAACCTGCACAGTGCCCTCACTCTAATCTCCCCCCCACTCTCCAGCATAGAATGTAAAAGTACTTAAACATGATAATAGCACTACACGTATTTACAAACACTGTCGCATCTGTTCTCTGGGGAATGTTTTATCACTTCCAAGAGTTCACCAGGTATTTTCACCAGAGCAGCACCTTATATTACACACATGCTACAAGTTACTGAAAAAGTGTCTTTTAAAAAAAGACTTGGAGTAATTTACTGAAACTCCATGTGAGTTTACTCTTCCTGTAAATGCACGTTTGTAGTCTACATCAAGCAATACATCAAAACATTCACACTTTTTGCAAAGCTTATGGTTCCTTTATCAAAACCACATTTTGGAAGTGCTGGTATCTGGTAAGGCAAGGAAGGCTCAAAAATCAAGCATGTGAGAAGTGAGGTCAAAACACGTCGCCATGTGCACACGGATGCTGCATGTGAAGGCAGTGTCTTGAGATAATGTCCTGCACAGAGCCTTGGCACAGCTTGCCTTTACACAAGTGCCCCAACTGCAGAGTATGTTTTTTAAAGATCCAAACAATGTCTTTGGAAAAATATAATTTATACTTACTGGGAGAGTTACTTTCTTCAAGTGGCATTCCTTTTGCAGTAGTTCATAAACATACTTAGTGATAATCTGGAAAAAAGGAAAAAAAAAAGAAATGTAAATAGATGTTAATATTAAACCACTTACTGTAATGACATATCCAGGCAGACAAATTAAAGGCGACTTAATTAAACTTCTATGCCCTTGTATATGTTTTGCCACGTATCTAAATCCTTTACTGTACAACTAATTATAGAACTTGAAGCTTTACACAAAAAAAGTCCCCTCTGTCCCTTGGAAAAGGCTGCTTGCCAGTACATAGAAATCGTAACTGTACCTGCGAATCCTTCATGTGCTGCTGTGTGAATAATTATGTGCCTCAAAACTAAGGATTATAACCAGTTAATATATACTCAGAGGCATAAGAAAGGCCCTCTTTTGCAAAGAAATACTTTAAAAGCATTTTTTTTCCATATGCAGGACTCCTGAAACCCTCTCCCCTGCAGGTTTGCTGCATAAACTACATGGAAAGCAGATCTGTAGTCACCCTCAGCACAAGTTGCCTTGCCATTTCCATTCACTGAACAGGGGAGGGATGGGTCAAAGGTTTCTAAACAGAAGAAAAACCCTGACTGGTTCCCCAGTACGGGGGAGTTTAAATCTCTTGCTTCCACGCAGAAATAAAATTGAAATTTTAGACCTGAAACAAAAGGAATTATTAAAAAAAAAATAAAAAACAAACAAACAAACAAAACCAACCTAGTTGCCCTGAAAGACTTGTTACATGTCAGATATAACAAAGTTGTTCACACTTCAATGACTTGCCTAATATATGGGGATTTTTTTTCACCATTATATATTCTAAGGAAAATGGAGATGCAGATATCAAAACTTTCTAACTATTATTAATTCAGCAATTAAGCAGAGGAGCAAACTAATGCTCTTTGTCCATACAGGGCTGTAAAAACAGTCTGCAAGTAACTGCCTGGATTTCACTGGCTACAGGAGTTAAAATGAAAGTAAAAAAAAAAAAAACAAAAGTCAAATTAAAGAGGAAAAAACAAAGTGCTCATTAAGAACCTCAAATGGTGCTTGCCTTCCCTTTAAAGTATGGGGAGCTATGTTTAAATTCCAGACAGAACAAGATCTAAGTCTGAAAATATTAATCCAAGAATACCTGCGTACAAACCCAGCTGGTGTCTGTACCCCTCAAGGCCACAATTACAGACCTCTGAACCCACAACATATTAAGCCACAACAGAAATGTTGCTGTAACAAAGCTCTCAAGTGATGGTGTCTTAGAAAGACACAACGAACAGAGCAAGTAGGACCCAGGGTATCGTAAATTTCAATTTTAATTTCCCAAATGCATGATTACGAGCTAAAGTTTCAATGAAGTCCAAAAGTTTTCATTATGTACGTGTGAGCAAACACAATATGCAAACATTTGGAACACATCTGAACAAATTAGAGGTAATGATGAAAGCTAATTAAAAATGTTGCCACGCGCCCCACCCTTACTTTCATAAAACCCCCAAATCTTTACTAGGATTATGTGAATTCTTTGCTATCCTGCTCAAATATGTTTATTGATAGGATTATGTTCAAAAAATTTTATGGTTTTAAAGAAAGTCTGTCTTACAGAACATTGCTATCTATGCGGAAACTGCATTTGGAAAACGAATTTAGCTGTGAGCAATGAGTCGATTTAAGGCATGTTTATCCCCAAAGCAGTATGTTAGGAACATGCATACAGTGTAATTTTACCTTCAGGGCCAAACTTTTTATGGTTCACTGAAATCAACTTCAGTGTAATGCCAACAAGTAAAGCAGTTAAGTTCCTGCGGTCTCAGATGCTGAAGTTGTACAGACATTAAAATGAGTATAATGATAATATGGCCTCAAATGTAGAAATTTAATTCTTCACTTTAATTCCAGGCATCTACTAACCATCAAAACCAGTAAAATAACACTTGGAGGAGGAAAAAGTTGCTATGAAGAATATGTATTTTCGACACTACTTGCAAAAAATCCACTTTTTTTTGCAGCTCTGTATCTATTTCTTTTACACTCTCTCATTACTGTGATGTCTTCAGGGTAAAAAGAAATCTTTACTCATTTTTTCCATACCCTGTCTCAATGGGGATGTGATCCTAACTTACTTTTTATGCACTACTCTAATATAATAAGTAGTGGTATGAGCCTTAAAAATGGGACTGACAACCCAGTAAACCACGCTGGTATGGCAAAGACTTAACCTAACAAATGCTTTTAGTAAGTGCAAACATGAAGAATGATCTAAGAGGTTGGAGGCAGTGTGAGATGATGATCCTCAGGCAGCTCAGCACCTGTATGGTCCCCACAGGACAGAAAGACTTGAGGAAAAAATGCCATAGACAGCCATAGTATACATACATAAGACCACAAGAGGGTTGTTTGTTTTTTTTGGCAGCAAAAGATCAGGTTCAGGAATCTCTTAGCAACAGTGGGTATGCTGTCAGCTTTAAAGGAAGGAAAGTGACACACAACATTTCCTGAAGTAGCAGCAAAGCCCAAAACTTCCCAGATTTGAAAACATCATCATAGTCCAGGTTTCCTGCACTTGGCATGGATGTGCCTGGAGAATGTAGCAAAATCTTGTCCTATCTAGGAATATGGCTGCAAGTACTGAAAATGCCACAAATCTAACATTGGGATTCTATATTTCTAATTAATTCTTGTGAATTTATGGCTGATCTGTAAATTTTGCAAAATTAACTTTTAAAAAGCTCTTTAAAATACCTTTTCTATAGGCATTAAAAAGACAAGGAAAACTGGATTATATTATTCGTATACCACTAGTTAGACTTACGATTACAAATTTATACAACTTAAATAGCCACAACTTCTTTAAATAGTAGTACCGGCTCATGTATTCTGATACTTTACGATCTGAAAACTGTTGTAGGCTGTTGAGGAGTGTTGAGAAGTGTGACTTCTTGAATAAGAAGATAAGTATGGTTACACTCCATGAACTCTCCTGGACTAATCACTGGTCATATGGTTGCTCATGACGGCAGGCATTTAGCAACAGAGGCTACTCAATCCAGTCCAGTGTTAACAACTTGTTTGTAACCACCAAGCAACAAATTGCCCAGTACAAGCCATTCTCGAGGCAAACCATAACACTTGCTAGAGAACCCCGCTCATGTTACTTGTACAAACCTGGGATATTTAGGCCATTGTGATACAACTCTGAGAATTGGAGGAAAAAACCCAAACACAAACCCTCCAAAATTCCATACCTCTGATCGCCTATTTTAACAGTGAGGGATGAATCCTTTCCAACCACAAAAAGGTACTTAGCTAACACTTCTACCCCCAAAAGAGATTGTTATCAAACTGTGGGAGAGGAGAAACTTTATTCCCAGCACAAAGTGGTCCTCTTATATATGTACACTATGGCAGAGTAGAACAGAAACTCCAGGTGGAAATAAGAGTTCTGGTTCACATGTATGGATGTAAGGATAAATTTCTTTGCTATGAGGGTGGTGAGATAGTGGAACAAGTTGCCCAGGGTAGATGTGAATATCTCAGCATTGGAAGTGTCCAAGGCCAGGCTGGACAGGGCTTGGAGTAACCTGGTCTAGTGGAAGGTGTCCCTGCCCATGGCAGTGGGGTGGGAAGTAGATGAGCTTTAAAGTCCCTTCCAACCCAAACCATTCTATGACTCTATACACGTAACTGTAGCACACATTAACTCATGAGGTCTTGGCTTTATACGACTTGGCTTTATACGACTTAAAAGACTTGCGTTCTTTTAAGATTATATTGTTCATATAGAGGACTTTCTTCAGGACAGCTTTCAATTACTCAAAAGCATTGAAAAATTCTGTTCGCAGTGTAATTTCTGAAACCTCTGCATTACATCACTGCTGAAGCTGTCCAATCAAAAGATAAATACATGCATACCACTAGGTGAAAAGAGAAATTAAAGACTAAGTGCCATTGTGACGAACATGCTTTAAAGTTGCTAAGACCCTGGAGGTACTGAATCTTAAACATGATTATAAGTGAAGATAAATGCCAAAAAGACTCTTTAATGCAGTAAGTATTGGATTTCTTTAAACAGTAAAAGTCTGGAAAAGCGGAAAACAAAAAGCATGCCCGTGGAGCAAGAAGGCAACTAAAATTTAAAAAATAACTTAGTTTAAAATAATATACCCCACATTTTAAGTCTGTGTGAAGCTAAAAAAAAGCCTTAAAATCAAAAATATCAAGAACCAGTCTGGCATACACAAAGAAAAGCAGAACTGCAGCTGATCCACTGGTGAACATTTTCATAACCAAGACATACAGGTATACAGACACAGAACACAACTTGATTACTTGTTCCATAACACCTACATCCCAATCCAAAGGAGCTGCTTCAGTACATACTGCATCGAAAACCATGCTGGGTCACAATGAAGTGCACTGAGGCTTGTTCATCAAGATCCCTCCCTGCTGTGCTTTACAACCAAGTCGTCTGAATTCTCTTTTTTTTCCCTTAAGTGTGCTCCCTCTTTCAAAACCAACTACAGGTAACTCTGCCCACCACCAGACTATGTATATGAACAGAACAGTAAACCCACATAGAGAGGAAAAAAAGATAAAGTGACCTACTCTAACTTGCAAAATGTTTTCTCCACAGTGAATTCACTAGTAAAACCTATTAAAGAAATGGAATAGGATCATGTGATTTCTGGCCTTTCGCTTCTGAACCAGCAGCTATCAGTAGTCACTGGAAATCATTACCATACATTGAATGTTCATGGATTCAGGACAGATGTGAGGAATCCTTCAGTTACCACAGACCACAAAGTCTCTTTAAAGAAAATCCAATGTTCCGTGTTTCTCTCTTCTCCCATACATCCACCCCTCCTGACCAAAACACCAACTACCCCTTCAAATGGCTGGTGTATGGTTAACACATGATGAAGAATGTGATACAACAATGGATAAAGCACATGTGAGCAGCTGACATTACAGCTGCTCGGGTAACAGAGGATGGATTACAAGACCTTAGAGAAAGGATAAAGGGGTGCAAACTGTTAACCCATGCTGTCCAC